AAATATAGAGGGGGGGGGGGGGCGGAGAAAAGAACATCGAACGAAATCTTAAAATAAATATTATACTTACGCTTCATATTCCACTTCTCAAGAAATGGCATATGCTCGGCTAGGATCAAATCCGAGGTCTTCACTCGAACGAAATGAGCCAGCCAGCCTCGGTCCCGATCCTCATCGATGCTCGAAAAATGGGCCTTATTGGACTAACGTGCAAGCTTGATTAATCCCCCTCGATAGAGCCGAGGGCTATACAGGTGCAAAGGCTGGTTGATGGTGAAGGGACATCCCTTGACCTTGTTCACAAAGAAGCGGAGAAAAATTACTATCCTCCAAAATGAAGGATGAATCTGATCGAGGATCACCTCGTACCTCTTACAGAAGGCGATGATGACCGGATCTAAAGGAACCAGCTTGAAAGGGTAAGTGTAAACACTTAAAAAAAACCTACACGTGGGTGGTGATCGATTCCTCGAGGGTAGGGACCACTACAAGCTTATCGACCCAGTTGCAATCCTCCTTGACCTTCTCGAGGACATTATCGGTGACCGAATATATGTACCTCAAGACCGGTTCGCACTGACCCGGTACCAAGAAGGATTTCTCAACCTTGGAATCGGTTCCGGTTGAACACCCCGCAAGTACGAACATCTTTAGAGGGGGTTCTGGTGTCGGTTCTTCAGTAACAACAGGAGAAACGTTCTTAGATGGTCTTGAGGAAGAAGGATTTTCTTTTTGAGGAACGGATTTTGAAGTCTTTGTCATTTGCTTCTAAATAGAGGAGAAAAGAAGGTGACGATATAAGAGGAGGTATAATTAATAGATGACTTATGAAAGCTTTCAGAAAACCAGAAGGGAAGAAGTTTAAAACTAAAGATTTCAGAAAACCAGAAGGGAAGAAGTTTTAAACTTAAGTTTTCAGAAGACCAGAAGATGAGAGTAATGAAGTTTTCTTAAAACACAAGAGCCCAATGTAAAAGTTCTAATGAATGGATGAAAGAGGGTATTTATAGTTTTCTCAAACGGCGGTTCGCATCCTGTAGCGGCCGGCCGTTAACTGACACATTTTTAATGCCTTGAAGACTGGGCCGATGGGATATTTTAACTATTCTTGTCACTTACGTCATGAATTCGTCGTCATGATTTAATCAGACTGAGAATCGGAAGCTCGTATCATTTCTCATCATTTAGTCTCCAAAAAACAAAGGGATTTTGATGTCATATTTTTGTCACTTGCGTCATGATATATCGAAGTGAGAATCTGAGGCTCATGTCGTTCCTCGTCATCTACTTTCCGAAGAACGAGGGGACTATTTGTATACGGGTAAAGCTGAACTCGATATTCGATCGAGCTTCCGAACTCCCTAATTAGGCCAGGGTCGAAATATTTGTGATCGGGTGAAGTCGAGCTCGAAGATCGATCTGACGTATAAAACCATCGGCCAAGATCGGCACATGCTGATTATGATCGAACCCAAAGCATTGTCAAAATCGAAACCATCAGATTTGCCCTCGAGTGTACCGAAGGCGTAACCGGTCATGTTTCTGACGGCCTAGAAGAAAGCTTTGCCAACTCATCCGACAGGGGTCCGTAATTCTCGCCATTAATCAGTCATTATGGTAAAAATCACGGAACAACTCAAAAAGGGAACCAACGGTTAACAAATCAAGGACTTTTGCCTTTTATAGAATAATAAAATAACACCTTAAAAGGTAGATCTTCCCTAATATAAAAAGGGAACTTGACAATTCATTAGGAACATTGTACCATATACTAATAAGCTATACGTTCGCTAAGCTCTTATTCTTTGATATTTTTGTGTCAATAAAAGTGTATTCAACTCAAGGGTGGCTTGCTTCCGTACGTTGAAATCATCCAACTCACGTGGTTTGTAGTTAGTTTATCGTTATTTATTTCAATTGCAATCTAACTTATCACTTTGTATCAAGTTAATCTGCATATCCTTAAAACCACTAACAAATTCAATTGTTATCCGATTTTATGGGTAAACAATTTTCATGTACATTTAGATTATTTTACTGAGTACCTGCTACCTCTACCAACACAAGTTTCACCGAGTATCTACTACCTTTGATACCATACAAGTACCAAATATTTCTATCTAGTGGTGGAAAAATGGTTATAGAAACAATTATACACCCATATTATCCATTAAAATTGGGTTGGTTTATGAACTTTTTAAAAACGGATCAAATATGGATAAGAACCATATTATCCATTTAGAAAATGGATAATCAATGAATAACTCATGAGTTTAACTTTTACATTTGGAAAGGTTCAAATTGAGGGTTCCTCTAGTTTGGGAGACTAGAAATTCTCCTAAAAGTGATCATATTCAAGAAGTCATGGATAATATGGATATCCATATTATCCGCCGGTTAACACATTTTTTATCCATATTAAATATGAATGATCGAATAATTTATCCGTTTTTACATTACACATCTCGACACGTCCTGTCCGGTTGTCACCCCTATTTCTATCTTTCAAAGGTTGGACAAACGGAAAGAAATTGTTGAATGTCTAGTTTCTCATGATTTTCGTCCCGCTTTATTGGTTGTTAAGCTAACTCCCTTGGATGTAACCTACTTGCTCTTTCTTTATGTCTCCATTTACTAGTTTTTAATTTGTAACTTATCCTTTTCCAACAACTTTACAAGATGCAATTTCACTTCATGTGGGCATTTTCTTAGAATAAAGCGCTGCTATTGTTTGTGGGATGGAGAAGATTCTCATCATTTCCCTCTCTCTCAAAGTGGGCATTGAGGTCATCTTCAAATTACACCATTAAATCAGATTCTCAAGATTTCCCATAAAGCAAAAGAAATCAGAGAAAATTAAAACTTATCTAACTATAAAGTAGCCTGACTTTGGAAAAAATTCTTAGCAATCAACATAAAATGACTATTTTATGATATATGTTCTGGTGGAAGCCAACACAATTGTCTTAAAGCAATCAGCACAAAAATTTGAACCAAATGTCTAAATCACAACCCACAAAATAGTTAGTCTTGCTTTTGGAAGCCATGGCAGTTTAGATAGGGCAAAAGGGCATCAACAAAAAGAAGAAAATACTGTTTCTCAACTTCCTTCAGTGCCAACTGTCAACTTGGGCTCATAAACAAAGTTCAAAAAGTGTCCAATTAAAGATGCAAATTCACCTACCAACCACCAAACAGAGATCAGTTGACAGGGGAAAGGGGAAGAAAAAGAGGAGAGTAGACTACGCTGATCCGCCTTCTCATGTTTAAAATGTGGGGGACAAAATTATCTAGCACCTATGCTGGTGGGAGGTAGCAGCTGCCCTGTGCAATTAGTCGAGAAGCACACAAGTTGGCCTCGAGACCATGGTTAAAACACATGTGGTTTTAAATTCTGTAATAAAGAGAAATGGTAATCTGACCTGACAACGAAAGAGACTAGAAAAGTAAAAAAACAATGATCATCTTTATACAGGACTATCAACAACAAAACATACCCAATATTATCCCGCACCGTGGAGTCCCGAGAGGATGGTGTGTACGCAGATCTTACCACTACCTTGTTGTGAGATTATACAGGACTATCAATTGCTCAATAATGCTCTACTATTATATTTCAGCCAAATTGGAGGATACTAAAGCAGAATGTAATGGCAACTTCAGCAATATAAAAATATATTACAAAAAGGTACTGCTTTGCTTTGAAAAAGACTAAAACATAGGAGAGGTGAGATGAGGAAAACCTGCCTCCCCCCTGTTATTGTCTTTTACAGCTGAACAAATACAAATTAAACTAGTATTTCCTTTTCCTAATCTTGAAAGTGGACGATCGGATAACATCATCATCAGCCACCATTGTTGCCTCAAGGGCTGCAATGGATTCAGGTTTGGTAAAATAAGTGAACAAGAGGTAGATACCGTCCAAGTATGTATTTGTCTCTCCAGCTTTATTTTTTTTCCTAATGCTGTACGCAAGTGGAATAACGCCTCGGTTGAAGACCTCCACATACATACCACCACCAGCAACCAGCAACTGCCCAACAGAAAGAAAAGCAAAACCACATTGGAGAACTAATGAAAATACTTGGTCTAAAGACTTAATAGTTGCATCATCATTCATCAAATAGTCAGTATTGTGTGCAACTGAAATTGAAGGGAGATAGTGTCGGAACTTGATGTAACTCCATAACACATTTGCAATGAATCTATAACGCAAACAATTACGTGAAAATTACTTACTCCATGACCAGTTGAAGCATTAACACTGCAATAAGAATAAACATATTGTTTCTAGCTTCAGGTGAAAATCCTAGCGATAACACTGTACATATTTCTCAAGTTAACAAAGTTCATATTTAGGAACTTGTCCCTTAAATTAGAAGACATAATTCTATGGTTAGCTTTTCTTAGTATGTCTAATCAGTTAATGGCTCAGAAAGGGCATGAAATTGAGCAACCAGAGACTCAGAGATACTGAACCTGGTTAAAAATTAATCACAAAAGGAATAAAATATTCTTGTTAGATAGAAATGGAACAAAAAAAGAAAGTAAATAAAGAGCTACTTTGAGTCAAACTTCAAAGGTTGCAAAAAAGGTTTAAAGTCGACAATAGTTTGTGCAGGTGGAGACAGTGAGTTGTGTGGGTAATGGAGACTTGGAGAGCTAACAATTCATAGCTTTTCCATTGGGAACATAGTGGTTGAAGGTTGTAGATACAGTGGTTAAAGAAANAAAAAAAACCCCCCCCCCCCCCCCCCCTCTGTAACTGCTATGCTTCTCCGTCTGTTCTTCTTTTTCTTTATTTTTTAAACTCAACCACCTAATATCTTGATTACCCAATCAATGATCAAACTAAGGCGAAACATAAAGATTTACCAGTACTAGCCAAAAATCATAGAAAATCACAAAGTAGTTGCATATGTTGAAGGTAATGATAATTTCGTTAAACCACTAAATGCCAATGGTAAGAGGTAGAGTATTAAGAACATTATAAGAAAAGGGGAGAGTTCTAAGAAAACCTCTTTTCTAGGCATGCTAGACTTACTGCAGGCCACAATGATTAGCAAGGGGCGGATGCAACGTTGCAGCAGCGGGTTCATCTGAACCCAGTACTTTCAACGCGAAGCATAAATTTATGTGAAAAAATCCACTGAAATTTCAACAAATAGCAGATATGAACTCATAATGAACCCATAATTATAAAAATGCAATGGGTTCAATGCTAAGAACCTTAAAGGATGAACCTATAGAGTTTGAATCCTGGATTCATCTCTGAATGAAAGTATAACACAATATCTAGCTACTACAAAGAAACTTATAACCATCCACCTACTTCAAGTTATGTGCCAGTGCGCGGAAATATCTTATATCTATTTGGACTCAAGCAACAGATGGAAAAAAGGAATAAGATTAAAAGGAAAGTCATTCCATGGGAAAAAGAATAATGAAAATGTAGCAGAAGCCAAGAAATAATTTTCTTTGTTACTCGGATCATATCTATGCCAGCTTAAGTTATGGTTAAATATAAAATTATGCACCGCAATTCTAAGAGTTTTATTGGATCAACAGCTCAGATTTTCCAAAGAATGGTTATTAGACGGAGGAAATGGAAGTGTATTCTCTAATACTCCTGTGCTTAAATTATCAATTGCAAAGTTCAAAACTTCTTTTGGTTTCATGCTTCCACCCATTCACAATGAAAAATAAAATAGAGGATTTCCTAGCCAAGAGAAATAAGAACTGAAAAGAAGAGTAAGCAAGATTGAGAGTCGTATACAAGGGAATAATTACGCTCTCTACGGGGCTGCATTTTCACCATAACTAATCTTTTCATTATGAATGCAAACCGAATATCAACTATTTTTCTTCCTCGATTCGTTGTCCCTAGCCATCTTCCTATCAAATGAGTACAACTTATAATATTTCTCGTGCAGTTTTCGACATCCAAATTTTAATTATAAGAAAGTGTATTAGCCTAGCTCATTTTTATCTCAAAAAATTGACTGTAAATAAGCAACAACTGCAAACAAATTGTGATAGAAGCAGTATTAGATTCAAAAGATAAATGTTTAGCACTCTGAACTTCTAGACTCTCACGCTCAAATAGTAAAAAATCAGCAATTACAAACTCAAAAGTTACCACCTTGAGCTTAGTCCTGCAAGTTACAAAAGAAAATCTACTAGGAGATATCAATTAATTCCCCTGTCCCAATTTATGTGAACGCTCTTTTCTTTTTAGTCTGTCCAAAAGTAACATTTTATATCCAGAAAAAATCTAACTTTATCTTCTCATTTTACTTTTAATGAAATATTTTATAACCACTCTCACATAAATTGGGGACGAAGGGAGTACAAAAAATTGCATAAATTCATAAATCATACCTCTTCGTATTTCTGGGTAAGAGCAAGTCTCTCATCTTCAGACATGTCGGGTCTCAAAACCGCCATAGTTTCATAAGGGCGTAACCCAGGAGGACACTGCGGCTCCTCTTTATCTTCAACGGCTGAAATCCCAGACCAAGGTGTAGTTGCTGGTGGCTCATCATCTCCTCCTCCGAATCCACCTTCAAAGAAAGATCCCGAAAATTCTAGAGTCTGGGCCTTCACTATTGGGCCAGACGCCTTATAAGTTTTAGTAAAAGGGTGTGTGAGTGAGAGAATTGAAGGTTTAGAAGAGGAGAATGTGGAGGTGAGAGATGGGAATATTGATGATAAAGAAGAAGAAGACGCCATTGTTGTTGTTTGTTGTTGAGAGATAAAGTGGATAAGGAGGGAAAATTTATTCCCAATTCCAACATTGGTAAAACTGTACAAGAGAAAATTTATTGGCTTTCCTTTAACCATAATGTTACTTTGCAAAATTTACAAAAATTTAACCTCCGTACAATTGCCGTTCTTTTGGCAACCGTAGCAAAATGTGTTTGTTACAAAGATTATTCATTTATTACTCTTATCACAAGCGGGCAGCCAGGTTGTAAGCAACTCAATAAAATGATTTGCAGCAGCTTCTTATTAAACAGACAGGTTGCAAGCATCTTATGCAGACAGCTTACAAGCAGCTAAAGAAAAGTCTTGCAGCTGCTTTCTGAAAAGTCTCGCAGCTGCTTCCTTTCTTCTATAAATAGAGGAGTTTTCAGTTCATTATATACATAAGTTTGAAGTTTGAATAATATATCAGTTTCTCTCTGTACTTGTCTTTACTTTACATTCTTTATTTTATAACACGTTATCAACACGAGACTCTGCCATCTCGAGCAAATACTTTAAAAGTATCGCAGGTACGAACTTTCTTTTTCTAAATAATGTCAAATCTTTCTAAACTTGAATTTGTAGGCCTGGATATATCGGGCAAAAACTACATGTCTTGGGTGCTTGATGTCGAAATTCATCTTGATGCAATGAGTCGGGCAGACACCATCAAAGACAAAAATCAGGCATCAAACCAAGGCTGTGCCAAAGCAATGATATTCCTACGCCATCACCTTGATGAGGGTCTGAAAATGGAATATCTTACTATTAAAGATCCAGTCATACTGTGGAATAAATTGAAAGATAGATATGACTACCTGAAGATGGTCGTTCTTCCACAGGCACATTATGATTGGACTCATCTAAGGCTACAAGATTTTAAATTTATCAGTGAGTATAATTCTGTTGTGTTCAGAATTATTTACCAATTAAAACTATGTGGTAATAATATTATTAATCATGACATGTTGGAAAAAACTTTCACCACTTTTCATGCCTCGAATATGCTCCTGCAGCAGCAATATCGAGAGATGGGATTCAAAAAGTATTCTGAACTTATCTCACATCTTCTTGTAGCCGAGCAACATAATGGGCTATTAATGAAAAACCATGAAAGCCGATCTACTGGTACTTGTCCATTCCCTGAAGTGAATGAGACGAACTTCCACCAAGCTAAGCGTGGAAGAGGACGTGGCCCCAGTCGTGGTCATGGCCGTGGTCGGGGAGAAAACTCTAATCATGGTAATAATAATGCACTAAAGAGCCCTTCTCACCACCAGCAGTAGAAAAGGAAGGAACAAAAGCATGAAGCGGTCCAAGCAGCAAAGCCAGAAAATGCATGCTATAGATGTGGAGGAAAAGGGCACTGGTCACGTACATGTCATACGCCAAAGCACCTAGTTGAGCTGTATCAAGTCTCCCTAAAGAAGAAAGAGAAAAATGTTGAAGCACATTTTATTTCTGAAGATAATTTAGACTTCATGCATTTGGATGTAGCTGATTACTTTGCACTCCCAGAAGGAGATACAAGTCATGTGATCGGTGATGAATCTGTAGAGATGTAAATATTTTAATTTTTGTTGTTTGTAGTAAATAGTATGGTTATGTAATAGTTGTATATAAATAAAAGTTATGCTTTGATAATGATGTTTACTATCATATTTATTTTATTTATGTCATTTTGAAGAATATGGATAATC